TAACTCTGCATGTGAACTGGCCTTATGGCCCTTTGCTTGTGCTCAGACTGTGTGGTGACTTTGTGATCCACCCTGAGCTTGCTTTGCTTTTCTTGACTGGTCTTGTGACCTCTTGTTCTCCCCCACTTTGCCTATGGGGGTGTGTCAAACTTATATCTGCTATAGTCTATTTAGGCTGTAGTGGGGTAGTTCTTAGAGGGTACAACACTTATGTGTTTCCTACTTGTACCCATCTCATTTCTAGTTCATTTATTCTTTCGTCAATTTTTCTCACAGAAACCTTGAAAAATGTATACATCAGCGATATTCGTTGTCATAATGTTATAGTGCTTACATTTGTGTAGGCTATAGTGGGTTAGCCCATAAGGGGTACAAACCAATTAGGTTTAGTACTTGTACCCAACTCTTTCATAGTTCATTCATTCTTGTTCGTTATTCTGACATGGTTTCAGAGCAGGTCCTTCGTTAGGACCGATTTTTTTTTGTCCCACCACAGCGCTGCCCCACTAGCCGCCCCTAGCGACCCTCGTGCCGCACCTGCTGCCCAGCGCGCCACCCTCGCGCGGCCTGCCCGTCGCCCCGGCCCATCGCCCCTAGGCCCGTCGCCCCGGCCCGTCGCCCGTCGCCCCGGCCCGTCGATCATAGGCCCGTCGCCCCTAGCCCCGGCTCGTCGCCCGTAGGCCCGTCGCCCCGGCCCGTCGTCCCTATGCCCGTCGCCCCGGCACGTCGCCCCGGCCCGTCGCCCCGGCCCGTCGCCCCTAGGACCCCGGCCCGACGCCCGTCGCTCCTAGGCCCGTCGCCCGTCGCCCCTAGCCCCTAGGCCCGTCGCCCGTCGCCCCCTCGGCCCCGGCCCGTCGCCCCTAACCTAGGCCCGTCGCCCATCGCCCCCCCTAGGCCCCGGCCCGTCGCCCCTAGCCCCGGTCCGTCGCCCGTCGCCCGTCGCCCCTAGGCCCCGGCCCGTCGCTCGTCGCCCCGCGCCCGTCGCCCCTAGGCCCCTGCCAGCCCGTCGACCCCAGGCCCCGTGCGCCGCCTCTTGCGGCCCGCCCCTTCGCCCATGCAGCCCGCGAGCCGCCCTTGCAGCCCCGCGCGCCGCCCCTGGTGGCCTCCTAGCCGCCCCTGCTGCCCTGCTAGCCACCCGTAGGCCCTCGCGCCGCCTCTCTTGCAGCCTGCTCTCCGCCCCTCTCTGCTGCCTGCCCTGTTCCCTACGCTACCGGCTTCTGCCCGCCCTGCGTGCTGCGCCGCTATGGCTTCTCTCCGCGTTCTAGCGTTCGATCATGAGGGCCGCCGGATCCAGTTTGACACGTGGCTTGACGACCTGCAGCTGTACCTACTGAGTGACTCTAGGGACAGTGTTTTGTTGTTTGACCACACGTCTGGTGCTGCTCCCGCCCCTCCCGCCACAGCTGACAGTGCGACTCGCTCATAGTGGCTTACTCGTGACGCTGCTGCTCGCTTAGCCATTTGCAACCACATGCCGTTAGCCGAATGTGCTCACTTCGGACAGCACAGGACAGCACAGGCACTGTACGACGGTGTAGTCACCCGTTACTCCTCGCTTGCCACTGGTGCTCTAGGCCGTCTTCTACTGCCCTACCTGTTTCCCGAGCTGTCCGCCTTTGCCACTGTAGAGGACCTGGTTTCCCACCTTCGCACTAGCGACGCTAATTTATAGTCACCCGCCTCCCTGACTCTCTTCGCTTTGTCAGAGACCACTTTCTCTCCCTTGACCCCACACTCCTCACTGTTGACCTCCTCGAGCAGCACCTCCTTGCAGCTGAGACTAGTGTAGTCGCTGTAGGTGCTGCTCGTGGCACTCCGCGCACACCCTTCTCTGAGGGGTGCTCCCCCTCCCCCCTTGCCCCCTCCTACGCCTCTGCTGCTGCTCTTGATGTCCTTGGTGCTGAGGACGTCGGGGCTGCTTCTGCTAGTGCGAAGCGCCGCACCGACAAGGGCAAGGGTGGCAGGGGTGGTGGTGGTGGCAGCGGGGGTGGTGGTGGGGGCAGCAGTGGAGGTGGTGGAGGCAGTGGAGGCGGTGGCAGTAGTGGGAGTGGTGGCGGGAGTGGGGGCTTTGGTGGAGTCAGCGGTGGCAGCGGTGGGGGAGGCGGTAATGGCGGCAGTGGGAGTGGTGGCGGTAGGGCTGGAGCTACTCAGCGTGCAGGTTCGGGAGGTGGCCAGCGGCAGCAGCAGCAGCGTCGGAGCGAGACCCTGTCGCCTCAGCAGCTTCGTGAGTGGTTTTCTCAGCGTGGGGCGTCTGGGGGTAGTGATAGCTGCCCGTATGTCATTCGCGCGGGTGACCGTGCTGGTCAGACATGCGGGAAGCCTCACATTCAGCACCGCTGCTTCTCCCACCTTGACGATGCTTGGCGCGCAAAGTTTGGTGACGAGACCGAGCGCCCCCGCTGGGCAGAGCTGCTTCGGTATGGAGTTGCTATCTTTGACCTAGACTATGATGCTATCCTTGCTGCTATGTATGCTTTGTCTGCTAGTGCTGAGGGTGACTGTTACCTGTGTGTGCTGCTTGACCCAGGTATAGAGGCTGCTGCTCTAGGTGCTAGTGAGTCGGTTCTCCCTGGTACTTCGCCTGCTGAGGCCTTGCACACCTTCACACTTGCCCTTGCTTTCCCCGCCCTGCCTTCCTTGCGTCGAGGGGCGGCAGCGCGCCGCTCCTCACTCCTCCTCGTTTCCCCCGACGACTGCTCCCCTGCAGACTCTCCACATGGACGTGTAGGGCCCAGCCCGCGTCAGTGGACAGGACCGCGAGCGCTACTTCCTGCTGGTTGTTGACCACGACACGCGTTACACCACGGTCTTCCCCTTGCGCAGCAAGGGTGAGGTCCATGATGTCTTGATCCCTTGGATCCGCACAGTCCGTCTCTAGCTCCGCGAGCGGTTCCGCGAGGACCTTCCTATCCTGCGTCTGCACTCTGACAGAGGTGGTGAGTTCTCCTCAGACCTCTTGTGGGACTTGTGTCATGGGGAGGGCATTCTCCAGTCGTTCACACTTTCGGCCTCAACGCAGCAAAATGGGGTTGCTGAGCGCCTCATTGGCTTAGTCATGGAGGTGGTTCGTACCTCCATGATCCATGCGGCTACTCCCCATTTTCTGTGGCCATTTGCGGTCTGGTACGCTGCGCATCAACTCAACCTCTGGCCCCATGTCTCCATGCCAGAGACCTCGCCTACATTGCGTTGGATGGGGAAGGTTGGCGATGCGTCAGTGTTCCGGGTCTGGAGCTCTCGTGCATTTGCCCACTCCTCTGTCTACCGGCCACTCGCTCTCAGCTCCACCTTCGGACGAGTCCGTAGAGCCGAGTGGTCCGTACCCAGAGCTTGTGGGTTGCCTCATGTACCTGATGACGTGCACACAACCTGACCTAGTGTACCCTCTCAGCCTTCTGGCTCGCTACATGGCTCCCGGTAGGCACCGAAAGGTGCACTGGGATGCTGCGAAGAGGGTACTGCGTTACTTGTGCAGTACGTCGGGCATGGGGCTTGTGCTTGGAGGACGGGGTCCAGTTGTCCTCACCGGTCACGCAGACGCTTCTTGGGATTGACGACTCAGCTACGTAGCGGTCGTCACAGGGTTACACCTTCAGCCTCGGTTCCGGCTCTGTTTCCTGGCGGTCTACCCGCTCGTCTTCGGTGCTTAGCTCCAGTTGTGAGGCTGAGATCTTCGCCGGGGCCATGGCTGCACAGGAGCTACACTGGCTCACCTACCTGCTGACTGACTTGGGAGAGCAGCCTCGTTCGCCTCCCGTTCTGTACGTAGACAACAAGGCCATGATTGCCTTGTATCAGGAGCACAGACTGGAGCACAGAACGAAGCACATCGCTCTGCGATACTTCCTTGCTCGAGAGTTGCAGCAGCGTGGCCAGCTTCGTCTTGCGTACGTGGCCACTAGGGCCAACACCGCTGATATATTCACCAAGGCACTTCCGCCTGGTGATCATCAGCGCTTCTCTACTGTGTTAGGCCTTGTGCCTGGTTTGCCTCACTTGCTCACTGCGTGAATTTGCTTGTATTGTGATCTATATATATACCTGCATGCTTACACTTGCTAGGGTATGATCACTGTTGCAAGTAGGGGATTGATCGCCTCTTCGAACCGATCCTCACTGTGGTCAACCACTGTAGCGAAAGGTTACCATACTACAGTGTTAGCTTTGTGCACGACCGAGGAGATTGGCGGAAACCAGCTCGATCGCCTCGCCACGAAGATCAATTATGAGATTGACGATGCAGACAACATGAAGTCGCGAAACCATGTCGCGATGCGAAAAAAAACTCGCATGTCAGTGTTATACGGGCTGCAAAATTTGACGAGACAGTGGCGAACATGGTGTTTATTGTTTCTGCGTTTGAAAGGCGAAACCACTGTGTCGCAATACTCTAGGTGGTAGTACGCTTGGGCGGTCGTGGTACAGTGATCGAAAACGCAGTGAGCCCAGGATCTCCAACAAGGGATCGGAGTGCAGCCACGATCCTTTGATTTTCGAACTTGTAACACGCCCGAAGTGAATGAGACGAGTAGCTGTTCTCGTCCATGACCCACCTCGCTGCCGCGACGGATCGGAGGGCACGGCAGGAGCAGGGCGATCGTAATCTGGGGCACCTTACCAAAGGCGCACGTTTGCAACAACGTGTGCACAATATGGAGAGCCTGTCCCACGGATCAATATCTGACAAAACGGACATGACAATATCGTGGGTACAGTCCAATGTACATGATATTTCACTTGGTGCTTCAAAACAAAACATTTGATGAATTCCGGCCGGTAGAGTGGATGACTTTATAACGAAGTGCTCAAGGCGTCAAACATAAAATGCAGAGAAGTACTAAACGCGCTAATAAGCAGCACGTTATTGCGTAATGCTAAACTCGCTTACATCCACAGAGAATGCTCGTTATTCGTAAGGGTAATGCTAGGATGGTTGCAGTGGCAACTCCTCTTTATTCGCCTAACTGATTCGCGTGACTGACGGTGCAGTTGCGGAAGAGTTACACTGCAGCCTGCGTTCGAGCGATCACCGGTGGCAGCGGCAATTCTGGGAAGAGTTTCGCGACGTCGCTCCAGATGACCTCGGGCTTGTCTATGCGATCTACGGTGTAGTCCACGTGGCGCTGACTCGGCAGAAATTCGAACTCGCACGGAACAGTCGAGTCCACATACCCGTTAGTAAACGCCATCGAAACATCCATGTTCGTCTTAAACGGTTTCGACGCGCGCGGGTCGTTGGCGTGGGTGGTGCGGCTTAGCGGAACCGAGACGTCGCAGTTTAACGAGCGCATGGTGTAGCCCAGGCACAACGCGCTCACGGACATGGGCTGGTTAAGGAAACCACCCACGGTTACCATGGGTACTTTGTAGCGTTTACCCAGCATGTGCGTGAGGATGGCGCAGGTGGAAAAGCAGTCGCCGTCCGCCAGAAACAGAAACGGCCGCGCGCCGAAAAACGGCTCCGCCGACCCGGGTTTCTCCGCCAATTCGCCGTAGATTTTACCGAAATCCAACTTAAAATCCGCGGTATAGGTTCCGGCGCGGCCGGCGGCGGAGAAGGAGACGTTTTGCAGAGGAGTGTAGTCTTGAGAAGACGAGAGGAGCGACGCGCCGTCGCTGGGCTGAGTGTACGCGTTAGTGGCGTACCTAGGAATGGCCTGATCCTCCACGAGGCTCCAGGTGAAGTTTGTGCCTATAATGAAGTCCATGGGTAGGGTTGCGTCAGCCAGAGGCACGTTGCGCGTGCCGAGAAGCGCGACGACTGTGACTGAGGCCAGCACGGTAAGCCCGCCGCCGTTATCGCGCACGTCGAATATGACCTCCGTGCAGTTGGTGCTGCGCGCGGGGGGAGGCGCGGGGGCGGGGGGTGGTTTGGGGGAAGTTGGGAGAGAAAGGTTTTCAGGAAGGGAAAATTGGTGGGCAAGCAGGGAGGACTAGCAGGGGGGGCAAGCAAGAAGCGCAAGCTTACCGCCTTGCAGCATCCATGGCTTTGAGAATCTCCTCAGCGAGGTATGCAACGGGATTCAGGGCAGGCCTGCTGACTGAGAATGTGTGCAGCACGATCACTGCCGTGCGGTTGCTCACCAGAGGGTGCGGTTGATCACTGCCGTGCGGGGCGCAGAGGGGTGCAGAGAGGTGCAGACGGGTGTCCAGGGGTGCAGAGGGGCGTATGGGGTGCAGCCAGGGCTGGTGGCGGTCAGCTTACTCGCCGTGGTGCAGCACGATCACTGCTGTGCGGTTGCTCAACAAATACACGTGAGAGTGGTGCAGTGCGGTTAGGAGGGGTTGAGGGGTCCGGCCAGGGGAGAGAAAGGAGAGCTGGGAGGTTGAATGCGGTTCTTGATAGCGTTTCAGCACGAACAGTGACATCTGCATGCAGTCACACACGCACACAGTCACGCGCGCACACAGTCACACCCGCACACAGTCACACGTGCATACAGTCTTCGTGCACACAGTCACACCCGCACAGTCACACCCGCACAGTCACACGTGCATACAGTCACACGCGGATACAGTCACACGCGCATACCAGGTAGTAGGCATCGTCAGCAGACACCTTCTCCATTGTGATGGCTGCCCCATCCCCGCCAGCCACTATCGCCTGTGCAACATTGTCGCTGCTCTGCACATCACTGCTTGGCGGCCCTGCTTCCTCCTTGCGCTCCTGCTTCTCCTGTGGCTGCTGCTGCTGGCGCCTGTGGGGCCACTGGTATTGCTGGTACTGGGGTCGCATCCTCAGCACATCAAGCTCAAACATAGGAGGTGGCGCCTCCTCGCTGCCGCTTCCACTGTCACTGCTGCCGCTGCTGCCGTTCCTTGCAGCGTTGCCTGGACAGCTCTCGTTGTGCTTGGCGCAGTTGAGGGTCCAGTAGGAGTGGGAGTCGGTGAAGGTCTCTGGGCGCGAGATAGCCATCCATGGCACACTCACGTTCTCTGCTGCCCCCCTGTTGCTCCCAACCACAGAAACCACCCAGACAAAACAAAAACAAAACAATCACAACAGAAAATGCCAACAGAACAACAGGGCATGAGAAATTAGTGGTACCAACCAGGGTGAATGGTTACGGGGTTTAAAAGGAAGTACATTCTTCCCGTTTTGTGAGCATAAGGCTCACCCTCTCAGAATGGAGAGGCCACAAGGCTCAAGGCTCAAGGCTCTCACTCACCCTCTCAGAATGGACACCTGCAGCGTGTCGCTCTCTGGAACCAGCTCCCGCACAACAAACTCCCCCGCGTGGTGGCTCAATCTGGCGCGCCCCTCTGGGTCGAGCGCGGCAAACATCATGTTGAAGCGCGCACTGGGGTTGCGCACCATGCCGCCGTGCTTGTCCGCCCACTGCTTGATGTACTGCACTGCCGGCTGGCCCTCAATGGTGAGCACCTGGGGGAGGGAGGGAGAGAGGCCAGTCAGTGTGCTGTGCTACTGGGGTTGCGCACCATGCCGCCGTGCTTGTCCGCGAAAGATTGATGCGGATTGCCACGTTAGATATCCAGTGGGTGGCATTCCCAGTCTCGGTGGATTTTGCACATGCGCTTGCTACTTGATAGACACTGCCGGATATTGTATGATTGCAAACCATGTGTATTGTGGACTCTCCTGTTTAATGCACCCCTTTAGCGACGATAGCGTACCTGCTGTAGCTCGTAGGCGGAAAAATCGAAACCCCAGAGCTACTTCGCGTCCTCGTCGATCCCCTAGAACCGCTCCAGGTCTGAAGGGTACGGCGCGATGAAACACGGCCACAGACAGCGTTACATATGCACGTTGAAACAAAGCGTAGTTTGAAAACGAGTTCGCCTGAGCGCAATGTACGTGCGTGCGTACGTGTGAGAGGTTTTACAATCGCGCGGCAGACTCACATTGGCGCGTGGCGACGCGAACGATCTGCTGACCGTCCTCCACGACCGCGAAAAGCGGGAGCGGCAGGAAGAAGGTAGCCATGCCGAAGAAGCATCCCGACCTGAACATGGTGTGGCCGTCGTTCAGGCCGTTGATCGCGTTGAACGTGTCCACGTGGGCGTCCATCAGCCGTTCGTATTCGCCCCGCTCGGCGCGCTGCAGAATGGCCGTCAGCTCCGCGACGATGTCGACGCTGCTGGGAAGGTTCGTCTGGTCCGGCGAGTCAACGGCAGTGTCCTTGTAGACGTAGTGGTTGTTGACTCCGTTGACCACGGACCGAAGATCTTCCACGTCACTCTCCCTGCTCAAAGTCAAAGAAAATCATTCTCGAAAAATAGAAGCTCTTTGTTCAAATGGAGCTGGTTTTGTTTTTCCAGAAGGTCACTGCCATTGTGTGATCATTATGATTGCAAGATCAATTTCTGTTTAGTAAATGCGCTCGTTACCTGATTTTGAAATTGCGCAAGCATTCGTGAACTGTAGAAGGTTTCGCAACGTTCCAGATCGTTGCCGCCGCATTCGTGACGATTTCCTGACTCCACAGCGTGCACGGGTCCGCTGCACCGCTCTGCATCACGCTCGCTGCCTCTGGACCACTTGTTCCTGATTCAGAGGCAGTAGCAGCTGAAGCTCCCGCTAGAGAAGCTTCGCTATCAGCACTGGCATGGGCTGCTGCGGGATTGCTTAGCACTCGAAGGGCGAAGGCAGGTTGGAAATGAGTGAAGGACAGAATGACAGTGAGCAGGCCTACCACCCGTGCGATACGTGCATTTGAATCCATGGCTCGAATAGCAAGGGACGTTCTACCAGGTAGGAGGAGCTTATGATGCTCGTTGGTGAAGGTGATTTGGCGAGTGAATCAGCTTCGCTCTCGCCTTTGTACCTCCACAATAGAACTGCAGCTGCTTGCTATGTCGCTCTTGTTTTGCTCAAACATTCCGCGATTATTGTTAGCGGGTTTGCACTCGGAGATTATTGCTGGCAGCAATAAAGCCGACTTTTCAGTTACGCGCTCCGACGCTGAATACAAGCCGCGCACCTCAAAGTGGTCGCCTTTCAGAAAGAGTTACAAACGAAATAGCATCGATTCGCGGACCTCCTTGAGAAACACTTTTACGACTGTTGCGAAAGTACCGTGGTCTCGTCACAGAGGGTTACAGCTCGTGAGTAATCTTGGCTCTCATGAAGTTGTAGCAGTGTGATCATTGTTTCGGGCATGTCGAGGAAGCCGATATAGTCAGCTAGTTTTAGCGAAAGAGCAAGTTCACGATGGAAATGTACCTTATTCGACTCTCAGAATTGGTACAGCAGGAAGATAAAACCTACAACATGTGGTACTTGATATATTCCAATCCAGCATTGGATTGGGCAAAAAATCTCCGAAGAGCAAGCACATTCTTTGTAAATATTACTATCTGGGAATCAGGCCACTTTGTGTTTTAGCTATAAGAAACCAAACAACTCTGGAGTTCATTTACAAATAAGCGACCTAATCAACAACCTTGAAAGTGCAGAGGTTTGGTTCGTACATTTATCACCACGATCAGCTACTCCCCAACAGACATGCCAAACCCAAATTTATAATCCCTTTTCCAGTGATCCATCTGGACAGGCAAAACGAGATTGTTGGATTCAGATTCACCCTGGTATAGCCCCTGCAGCACTAGGTGCTTGTGAGTCTGCTCCCCTTGGTACTGCGCCTGCACAGGCCTTGCACACCTTTACACTTGACTCTGGTGCTTCCCGCTGTTTCTTTCGCGACGGTACCACAGTCACTCCCCTCCCTGCACCTGTTCCTGTCTCACTGGCTGACCCCTCTAGGGGCCCAGTGCTTGCACGGTCTTCCACTGTGCTTCCGTGTCCGGCGGTCCCGTCTGGTGAGCTGTCTGGTCTCCACCTCCCCTCGTTCTCTACGAACTTGGTGAGTAACGCTGTCCTCCAGGATGCGGGGGTTGACACCTTCACCCCTAGCCGGCAGCGTGTGGCGATTTGCACGTGCTCCCAGACTGGCCGCCACCTGGCCACGTTCACTCGTGCGCCGGGGTCCAGTATGTACACCCTCACCACTGCGTCGCGCTCCGCCCCTTTGTCTCCCCAGTTACACGCGTCTGCTCAGGTAGCTACACAGTGTGAGTGTCGCCGGCTGTCGCACGACACTCTCCTATGGCACCACCGCCTTGGTCACCCCTCCCTGCCTCGCCTTCGTAGCATGCACTCTCGCTTCCTGGTCTCTGGTCTTCCCAGGTCTCTGCCTGCCCTCCCTCCCTCGCCTACGCCGCCCTGCATTCCTTGCGTCGAGGGGCGGCAGCGCGCCGCTCCTCACTCCTCCTCGTTCCCTCCCACAGAGGCTCCACTGCAGACTCTCCACCTGGACGTGTGGGGCCCAGCCCGCGTCCGTGGACAGGGCCACGAGCGGTACTTCCTGCTGGTTGTCGACGACTACACGGGTTACACCACGGTCTTCCCCTTGCAGCGCAAGGGGGATCTCCCTGCTGTTCTGATCCCCTGGATCCACGCTGCTCGTCTCCAGCTCCGCGAGCGGTTCCAGTCGGACTTTCCTGTCCTGCGCCTGCACTCTGACCGAGGTGGTGGGTCCTCCTCAGACCTCTTGGCAGCCTTCTATGCGGAGCACGGCATCTGCCAGACATTCACGCTTCCGGCCTCTCCGCAGCAGAATGGGGTTGCTGAGCGCCGCATTGGCTTAGTCATGGAGGTCGCTCGTACCTCCATGATCCATGCGGCTGCCCCCCATTTTCTGTGGCCGTTTGCGGTCCGATACGCCGCGCATCAGCTCAACCTTTGGCCCTGTGTCTCCTTGCCGGAGACCTCGCCCACAGTGCTGTGGACGGGGAAGGTTGGCGACGCGTCGCGTTTCCGGGTCTGGGGTGCTCGTGCCTTTGTCTGCGATACCACCGCGGACAAGCTCTCCCCTCGCGCCATTTCTTTCGTCTTCCTTGGCTTTGTCCCTGACGCGCCTGGCTGGCAGTTTTACGACCCCGCCTCGCGCCGTGTCTTTGCGTCTCAGGACGTCACCTTTGACGAGTCGGTCCCCTTTTACCGCCTCTTCCCCTACCGCACTGCTCCTCGCCCCCCCCCGCCGCTCTTTCTCTCCCCAGGTCCTCCCCAGGTAGACCCCCTCCCCACGCCAGGTCCTGCTCCTTCAGGTGTCTCTCAGGTAGACCCCCCCGTGCCTGCGCCTGTTGAGGTTACTGGTGACTCCAGTCCTGCTGGGAGTGGTGCTGTCCCTGGGGGTGCGGAGCTTTGGGGTGCTGAGTCTGGGGGCGCTGAGCGTGTGGAGCCTAGAGGTGCTGAGCCTGCGCGTGAGGAGCCTGGAGGTGCTACGTCTGGGGGTGCTGCGTCTGGAGGTGCTGCGTCTTGGGGTGCTGAGCCTGCGTGTGCGGAGCCTGGGGGTGCTGAGTCTGAGGGTGAGTCGCCTGAGGGTTCTGAGACTGCTTTTACGCGGTCTCCTTGGAGTAGCCGTCTTCGTCTGTGTGTGCCCCTCACCTCCCAGCAGCTGCACGACTGGTACGGTCGCCGTCAGCGTCGCGCTTCTGCACCTCAAGGCTCTACTGCTGGGGGTTCTTCTGCTGGTGTCGCTGGTCCCGGAGGTGCTCGTACTGGGGGTACTGGAGCTGCTGGAGCTGGCGGTGTTGTGACTGAGGGTACTGAAGCTGCAGAGGGTGCTGGAGCTGCTGGAGGTACTGGAGCTGCTGGAGGTGCTGGCGGTGCTAGAGCTGCTGAGGGTTCTGGGGCTGCTGGAGGTGCTGGACCAGCTGAGGGTCCTGGAGCTACTGGCGGTGCTGGAGCTGCTGAGGGTACTCGAGCTGCTGGAGGTGCTGGAGGTGCTGGAGCTGCTGGAGCTGCTGGTGCTGGTGGCACTGCTCAGCTGAGCCTGTTCTTCGCTCCGCCGTCTCCGTCGTCTCAGCCACCACCTGACTCTGCACTTCGCCAGGTTCTCAGTCTTCCCTCGTCTACTGGTCTTCCGTTACAGCCTGGCTCACCGCTGCCTGCTCCTTCTCCGTACACAGAGCAGACTGGGGGCCTTGCTGAGCGTCCTGTCTCACCTGTCCTTTCTGGTCGTTCCGGTCGTCATGTTCCTCGTCAGCGGCAGCCGGCTGTCTCCGGCCCTCACCTTGTAGTTCATCGTCCTTCCTCTCCTCCGCCGCGTGTTCCTCTGCCGTCTCCCCCTGCGTCCTCTCTGCCTGTCGTTACTGACCCTGCGTCTGACCAGTTTCGTGTTGAGCACTCTACTGTCACGCGTCTGCTTGCCACTGTTGTCACTGACCCGTCGTTTGAGTCTGCTGCTGCGTCTGCCTTAGTCGCTGAGCTTGTTGACTTTGCTGCTGCCTGTCGTCTTGACTACGCCGCTAGTCTTGTTGCTGAGTCTGAGTCTGTCTGTCCTCCGTCCGTCGGGGGTGAGTGTGCTCTTGGCACGGACGTCCTTGAGGACAGGCAGGAGGACCTTGAGTGTCTTGCAACTGCTGCGCCTCATCTCGTGGCCATGCTGCTTGCCCCTGAGGGAGACCCGGATGCACCAGACATCCCTACCCCGCGCTCTTACGCTGAGGCAATCGCGGGTGAGTACTCCTCGCAGTGGCAGACAGCCATGGACGCAGAGATGGCATCATGGAAGTCCACAGGCACCTACGTCGACGACGTTCCCCCTCCTGGGGCGAACATTGTCAGTGGCATGTGGATTTTCAGGGTGAAGCGGCCGCCAGGTTCTCCGCCTGTCTTCAAGGCTCGTTACGTGGCTCGAGGCTTCAGTCAGCGAGAGGGAGTTGACTTCTTCCAGACCTTCTCCCCCACCCCGAAGATGACCACTCTTCGGGTGTTGCTGCACGTTGCCGCTCAGCGTGACTACGAGCTTCACTCTCTTGACTTCAGCACAGGCTTCTTACAGGGTAGCCTGCACGAGGAAATTTGGCTGCGCCGCCCTCCTGGCTTCACTGGGTCGTTCCCTCCTGGTACCCAGTGGAGCCTCCGGCGGCCGGTCTACGGTCTCCGCCAGGCGCCACGTGAGTGGCACGACACACTGAGGACGACACTTTCGGCTCTTGGGTTTGCTCCGTCGACTGCTGACCCGTCGCTGTTTCTGCGCACCGACACTTCGCTGCCGTCGTTCTACATCCTCGTGTACGTCGACGACTTGGTCTTTGCCACTGCTGACACTGAGGCTCTCGCCCTGGTGAAGTCGGAGCTGCAGAAGAGACACACGTGCACAGACCTGGGTGAGCTGCGCAGCTATCTTGGCTTGCAGATCACCCGGGACAGAGCACGCCGCACCATCACACTGACTCAGTCACACATGGTGCAGCAGGTCCTTCAGCGCTTCGGCTTCACCTGGTCCTCAGCACAGGCCACTCCTCTGGCTACAGGTCACTCGCTCTCAGCTCCACCTTCGGACGAGTCCGTAGAGCCGAGTGGTCCTTACCCAGAGCTAGTGGGCTGCCTCATGTACCTGATGACCTGCACTCATCCTGACCTTGCGTACCCTCTTGGCCTTCTGGCTCGCTACGTGGCTCCTGGTCGGCACCGAAAGGTGCACATGGATGCTGCTAAGAGGGTACTACGCTACTTGTGCAGTACATCGGGCATGGGGCTCGTGCTTGGAGGACGGGGTGACGTTGTCCTCACTGGTCACTCGGACGCCTCTTGGGTTGACGACCAGGCTACGCAGCGGTCGTCACAGGGTTACACCTTCAGCCTTGGTTCTGGTTCAGTTTCCTGGCGTTCTACACGTTCGTCTTCAGTTCTCGGCTCCAGCTGTGAGGCCGAGAT